TAGGTTATGGTTTAGGAATTTATGTGGGAGCTAATATCCATCAAGTTTGATGGCGACAAAAAGGTTAAAAGTAAGTGTGTACTAAGAAAGACTGTTTAAGTACGTTAAAAATTGCTCAGTTGTCATATGCGGATTACGAATGTATATGAGAGCTAAATAACGTGCGAATATATGCTATGCTTTTGAGATATCACTGATATAGATAGTTTCTTTCTGAGAGTGTGGGTTACAAAGGTAAATTTAATGAAGGCGATTATCAGTTAAAGGTTTAAGACATCTAAATAAGGCGCAGTATTCATGGTAAGATAAAGTATTAAACAGCCACGGTACGATTTTATCAAATTTTAAACAAAGAGCAACAAAAAGCGAGGCACCCCTCACTGACAATGCCAACGAAATGTCTGGGAATGTACCAAGTCAATGATCCGATGCAGAAAATCATCAGGAATACTATGTTAGAGGACGCAGAACTAGATATGTTACACAAGGTCTTCCTCTAGTTCAATCAAGTTGCGAAGACAACATCAAACCAACAAAAATGAAATTAAGAGTGCTGCATTCAGCTTAGGAATTTCCACAAAACATACATCTAGAGTATAATCCATAATTGATCAGTAAGTCAGGTGGAATCAAAGAATAAAGAAAAACTTCAATTCATTTTAAAAGAAACTTAACCATTGATAGTTAAATTACCAATTGAAGGGTGAAAATAAAAATGTTAAAAATCAGTGATCATAAAATCCTCATTTCTCCCACTATAAAGCCTAGATATTCGCAAAACGTGGCCTCAGAAATAAGTCTTAAGTAAAATAATCTGTTGGCTGATTATAAAGGCAAAAATAAGCATTTATGAATGATAATCAAGTTTCTTCGTCTATTATTACAAGTTGTGAACTATAGGAAACATTAAGAAATAAATCGGGATTCTTAACAAGGACGAAAAAACTACATCAGAAACATAATATTAGATCAAAAATAGCCTAATAAACATTAATTTTTACTGATATTAAACGACAATAAAGATGAAAAATATTATGTATTGCAGAATCGATGTTTCTGATAAACTTTTAAGTAAATCATTCCATTCTAATTTGGGATCAGACCTCTAAAACACAATTTGACCGACAAAGAAACTTAAGTGGTGAATAAGTTAGTTGAGACAAGTCAGAATTTAATGAGAGAATCAAGACAATAAGATACGCTGTTTTTAATAAAGAATAATATTAGGTCAGTAAAGTAAGTAAACCATTCAACATTAAAACGCAAAAACTAAAAAAAACTAAAATGAAGAATTTTTACGACCATCGATCAGCCAAAAAGCAGTTAAGTCTATTTTGACAGCTAGTGATAGTCAAACTAAAAATGGCCAACCTGTGCAAGCTCGGATAGTTCAGCTGGCGTCTCATTGAAAGGATTTAATTTTTCCGTATTTGATGTAAACGACCCAGGGGAGGGAGCAATCAAATTAGTTTCGGGAGCCAATGTTGCAGTATCACCAATGGAAGCACCAGTGGGACCAGCAAGTATATTAGAAATAGGAATAGTGACACCGGCTGAAGTTGAGATATTTGTCACTGTTCCTATTACTACTGTTTCTGGTGCTGGTGGAGGTGGGGCTTCAGTTTCACACACGTTACTGACGAGTGGCCCGAAAGGTGGGATAGTCAAGGCGGTACCTGTCATTCCAAGCAAAGGGTCCAGCTCGGTATGAAATGCTAGGATGAGATCCTAAAAATGGACAAATCAGAGATAATAACGCCAAATTGGTAGATGTTCAAGGAAATAAACAATTTGAAATTTTGTAAAAAAGTAAATGGTCCAACCCCGCTATCACAAATTGGTCGTGTTGTCAGAGGGACCTAGTTGGAGACACCTTGTCTAAAGTATTCTGCTATAGTACTTATGTTAATTCCCAGACGTTTTACCGGCATCGTATTCGATATCGCCAGTGAATCCTACCATTGTAGCGCCAAGCTACAATTCGTTAAATATATAAGTACAGTTAATCCTTCGATCAAGTTTCCGCCGAACAGTAAAATTATCACTCCTGTCCTTGTGCATGTGCCTACTCCTTAGCCTTGTATATCACTGTCTGCTCTTTTAGAGATGAGCTTTTCTTGACGAGTTTAGTATGGCGTTATTACATCTGCTTGTTTGCATTGCTTACCCATCCTTTACATTTGCCGGAATTGCTGGTCCGAGTTGGACCTCAGATTCAAACATCTGTTATTGTCCAGGAAATTGGTTTATTATCCTAAAGGGATATAAATTTCACTCGGTTCCAAAGTATAGAATTTACTCATAATTGAAACTATCAATTTTTTATATGAGATGTATTAACCCTAATTCGTCTGAGGTGATGAAGGACTGGTAGTAGAATTTTCCCAAATGATATGAGTTGAGCTGACGTTTCCATTTAATTTCACATAACCTTGCTTTTCCAAAAGTTGTTCTCATCCAGGGTGGACTTCAGTTTCGACCTCGCATTGGTCTTATCAACACCCTCAGCGGGAGTCAAGCCGCGGCAGTGCAGGATGGGAGCTTGGATAATTCTCATGAAATCCGCTCAAAAGGGCACTATGCAACATTAAAATGAGAATTGTGATAGTTGGTAAATAGCCCATGGCAGGAGATACGAAAATTGTTTAAAGTTAATCGGCTTCACAAGTCCCTTTTACAAGTTGTGGCGTGGTGATAAGAATGGAGAGGCTCACTGAAAATGCCGGCGAAACGTTATGGAATATGCCACAGGCACGGTTCGACTGGAAATCATCATGCATACTATGGACTCCGGACAAGGTGCGTTCCCCTAGGTCTTACTATGAATATGACCAAGTTTTGACAAATTACAGCAACTTACTATTTTCCGCAACTTGGTCATATTGGTAGGAAAACTTAAAGGAACGCATTTTGTTCGGAGTCCATTGTATGCATAATATTTTCCAAAGTCGGACCGTGGACGTGGAACATTCCCAGACGTTTCGCCGGCATCATGTCGGCATCGTCATTGACTTTTGTCATTTGTAGCACCATATTAAAACTCATCTCCTTAACTACGACGGCGGCGAAACGTCTGGGAATGTACCACATCCACGGTCCAACTTTGGAAATGATTATGCATACAATGGACTCCGGAAAAGATGCGTTGCTCTAAGCTTTCCTACCAATATGACCAAGTTGCGAAAACAAGGTCAAACAACTTCTTTACAACGAAAGGAGACTGTGACCGCAAAAAAAGGAAACACCATTTTGGTCTTCATAACGTCGATTACTATTTTTCGTTTATAAAAAGAGTTTCGAGACTACCAGTAAATCAGTTATATGAGATGTATTCGCCCAGCTTGGTTTAAAGTAATTAAAGACTGATAGCTAAATTTTCCGAGAATGATATGAGTAGAACCGACGTTTCCATTGCTATTCCAAAAGTTGTTCTCATCCAGGATGGACTGAAGTTTCGACCTCGCCTAGGTCTTATCGACACCTCAATCGGGAGTCGAACCATGATAGTGCAAGTGTAAGCTCTAAAGGTTAACTACAACGCCACATTGTCACGAATGCCCTTGGGTCACAGAGCAGATGAGAATTTCAAGGTCAGCATATTCGAAAACTTTCGGGAATGTAAGGAAATGTGAAATTCAATGAAAACGTCAGCTTATTTGGAACATTCTGGCTAGAGCTCATCTATAGGCTATCTCCTTCGTCTATCATATGACGAATATGTTTAGATGAGGTCATAATTCTTGAAACTAATTCGGGCTAAGCAGTCAACAAAACACATTATTTTATCCATATATTGTCTACACCAAGCCGTTCAATACTCCCTCTTCAGCATGTCTATAAAATAAGCAAAAATGGTCTGACTAAGTGTATAAACATTAAATAAGCTACCTACTCCATTTTTATGGCCTCCGTAATGTTATGCAGAGCTGGCTCTATTTCTACCCTCTTCTCTA